AAATACCCTTTAAATAACAATAATTATTAACTATATTTAAATTAACTATTTGTAGAAAATTGAAACAAACACTTCTTAAATAATAATAATTATCAATTATTAATTATTAACTATATTTAAACAATTAGTCTAAAAACTCTCTTAATTGTCTCAAACCTTTTTTTTTATTTTTTTGAACAAGATTAATTTTAAGATTTAAAAAAAAAAAAAAATTAAACCCATCTCATGAATTGAGAGGTGCACCTTTTTATTATACGGCCTAAAAGGCCTGGTGTGTCCCGAACCATTTCCAGCTCCTCCTCCTTCATCTTCCCTTCTCCCCCCACCCCCCTTCTCTCTTTTTTGGGCATTCACGATTCTTTTTGTTTGTCTTTGCACTATATGTTTCTATTGGAAAACAAATAGTCAACCTAGGATGCCATACATTCGATTTGAGGGATTTTGGTATCCGTGAGAATTGAATTAATATCCCACTGGGCCACTGCAATGTACATGCCCATGACTAGAACGGGTAAGGTCAAGTTTCAGTTACAATCAAAATTAAATTATTAGTTAATTAAATTTTTTATTATTTAATTTTTTTACAGGTAATTAAATTAAAAGATAAACAAATTTTATTAGTTTTGGTTAACTTTTTGAGAATAACTATTTTACATAGGGTTTAATTTTAATTGAAAATTTATATTTATATTTTTTAATTTCTTAATTGTTATTGTATTAATGTTAATTATTAAAAAACTTAAAATTATCATAATAAATAAATAATTTGGTGAAAAGTACCAAAAACACCTTAAAAAATCTAGGAACTATTAAAAAAATTTGTATAAAAGTTTTTTTTGTTAAATTTTTTAGTTATGCTCACTCTCGTAATTGGTTTTTAATTTTTAAATCCAACAACTAAATTTAAACTGTTTGAAATTGGTTTGGTTTAATTTTTAATTTAAAAAATTCAAAACCTAATCAAATCCTTCACATTAGTTATGGTTTTGATCGAATTTCAAATTTTCTTAGGTTGCAGACTTTTCCACCCACCCTTACTCCCCACCTACTTATCAGCGTGGCTTCAACTAATTTGCCCATCAAGTCTAGTAATCCTTTTATTAATTGAGTAATCCTTTCCTTTCATCAAACTTTAACATGTCTGCTATTGCATTGCATCACTCTTGAAACATTCTAATTCTCGTGTGATTTTAAACTATAATCAACACTGGACTTTATAAGTTTTGTAGAATCATGTGTCATCAAGATATTGATACAATAATTTCATTTTAACATTCAATTAATTGGTCTTCCAAATTCTACAACTATATAAGGATTTTCATTTGCAGGATCTTTAACTTTCAATTTCAATTTCAATCTAAAGAAAGAAGGAAGCAGTACTTACCATGGGAAATCTTGAAAGGTTTTGGCTGGTCATCCTTATTGCAGCACCGTTAGTAGTAATTGTAGCAGAACCCGCTCCCATTGCAAGACATGGTTGTCCAGCTAGGTGTGGTAATGTAAAAATCCCATATCCATTCGGTACAAGAGAAGGATGTTACTACAATGAAGATTTTCTCATAAGTTGCAATAACACTTTTAGTCCCCCATTAGCATTCTTAGATCATAGTAATATCAATGTCACCGACATATCTCTTGAGGGGAGGGTGCAGATAATGCAATATGTAGCCCAAAATTGCTATGATGAGTCGGGTCATCCAATTAACGGCAGCAATAACTATGCCTTGCTACGATTGAAGTTTAACAGTAGTTATATCATCTCTGACACTGAAAATAAGTTTGTTGCCGTTGGCTGTGATACGATAGCAGAGGTAACAGGTGTCGTCCAAGGAAATAAAAGCTACACTGCAGGTTGCAAAACCATATGTGACAGAATTGATTATGTAGCCAATCACACATGTTCTGGCATCGGCTGTTGCCTGATATCCATTGCCAAAGGAATGAACCTCTTCGAAATAACTGTGAGGAGCTACGAAAGTCATAAAAAAGTTTGGAAATTCAACCCTTGCAGCTATGGCTTCGTCGTGGAACAAAGTCAGTTCGACTTTTCTCCAAAATTGCTTCGCGAATTGCAAAATGTTACTAAAGTCCCTATGGTGCTTGATTGGTCAATTCGGGACGTCAACGATACATGTGGTAAAACTAAAAAAGCAAAAGCATGCAAAGGAAAGAGCTTTTGCGCTCCTGTTGATGATAATGGATATCGATGCAAGTGCTTAGATGGTTTTGAAGGAAATCCATACTTACCTAGTGGTTGCCGAGGTAACCCATTTATACTCACGCTGTATTTCATGAAAGTCAAAATAATAGTTCTTGTTCTGATAGTTTTCATTCTTTTTGCAGACATAGATGAGTGTTCACCCCCTAATCGCAATCCTTGTAAAGGAGGTATGATCTGCACCAATACAGTTGGAAGTTATAGATGTTCGTGCCCCAAAGGTTACCATCTTGAAAACGGTACTGCACAAGGTTGCGTTACAAATCATCGACAGAACTGGAATCTAATTCTAGTCACTCTAGGCAAGTATACATGTTTTAATCCACTTCCAAGTAGTCATATCTAACATACTTTTGCAGTGTAGTTGATTTCAACTTCAGATTTTTATTTCTTGCCTTGATTTTTGTTTAAGTAATCAAAACAGCTCTTGAGCCTATTCCAAATATCTGTTTTACTTCAACCCAACAATTACTAAAAGCAGAATGTCCACCAAACACTTCAGTTTTAATTTCCTATAAGAGAGAACACTTTTTAAGAGTATGGTGTTTTGTAGTTCAGATTGGATGGAGGGGCCCTCCCTTAATATCAAGGGTCTTTGATAATCCAATGGTTAGTATTTTGTAGTCTAAACTGCAAAACACTTTTTTTTTTCAAACTTCTAGCTTCCATTTTAGCCAAAACATGTTCTATTAACTCTCATAATCACTCTTATTTCTTTAATTTACAAAGGGATTGGAGGCCTTGCATTTTTTCTAGTAGTTGGCACTTGGCTGTTCTGGGGATATAATAAATGGAAGCTCATCAAACTCAAACAGAAGTTCTTCATGCAAAATGGAGGTTTGATGTTGCAACAACAACTATCCAACCACGAAGGATCTACAGAAGTAGCTAAAATTTTTACAGCTGAAGAACTTGAGAAGGCCACCAACAACTTTGATGAAAGCAAAATTATAGGTCAAGGAGGTTATGGAACAGTGTACAAAGGAACTCTTAGAGATGGGAGAATTGTTGCAATCAAGAAGTCCCACATTATTGATCAAAGTCAAAATGAGCAATTCATAAATGAAGTGGTTGTTCTTTCACAAATCAACCACAGAAATGTGGTGAAGCTATTAGGTTGTTGCTTAGAGACAGAAGTTCCATTGCTAGTTTACGAATTCATTACCAATGGCACTCTTCACCATCACATCCACAATAAAAGTAAGGCTTCATCATTGACTTGGGAAATCCGCTTAAGGATAGCAACAGAAACTGCAGGAGTACTATCATATTTGCACTCTGCAGCCTCCACACCAATCATTCATAGAGATATAAAGTCTACAAACATACTCTTAGATGATAGCTACACAGCAAAAGTATCTGATTTCGGTACTTCAAGGTTGGTTCCACAAGACCAAGCTGGAATATCTACAGTTGTTCAAGGAACTATTGGATACTTGGACCCTGAATACTTGCGTTCAAGCCAATTAACAGACAAAAGTGATGTTTATAGCTTTGGAGTTGTCCTTCTTGAGCTTTTGACTGGAGAAAAGGTGTTTTCCTTTGACAGAATAGAGGAAGAGAGAAATCTTTCCATGTGTTTTCTTTCTGCAATGAAAGATAATTGCTTGGGAAAAATTCTTGATGGTTGTATAGTGAATGAAGCAAACATTGAGCAACTTAATGAGGTAGCTAACCTGGCAAGGAGATGCTTGAGTGTGAAAGGGGAGGAAAGGCCTACAATGAAGGAAGTGGCCATGGAATTAGAGGGAATGAGAAGGATGACAAAGCATCCATGCGCGAATGATGAATTGGATGTAGAAGAGGCAAAGAACTCGCCAGGTGAAACATCTAATAAATCTGGTTATGACTTTGATGTTAGTGGTAGCATGAGTGTCGTCTCCAATACCTTTCCAGATCAAGTAGGATTTGCAGTTCACAGTGGGAGATAACCAAAAGTTTCTTGGTGACTGGTTGATGCCCATCTATTTTACTGCCTCATAAAATCCAAAAAAAAAAAAAAAAAAAAAAAGGGGGAATGGAAGAGACCACATCTTGCAGATAGGATTCTCTTCCTAATTTTCAATATATTGTCCTCGGTATGTACCGTGTGATAAAAGAGTGAATTTTACTTAGATCCTTAATTGCTAATATTTTAATTATGTTAATTGTATTGGAGCCATGTAATGTAATTTGTCTTTTTCTATTTCAGTAGATAGTGGCCAGAACCACAAGTTTATACAATATAAGAAGCAAGTTCCATATATCAGTAAATGATATCAAATGAAGACATATGGTTATGTCTTCTATGTTTTCCCTCAATTTCTCCTCTGTTTTTCCTCTTTTAGTGAGCTCTCTGTGCTTATCTTCTTTTGATCTCCATCACCGTGAATGCTATGTAAAAATAAATAACATCGTTGATCTACTTTAGATTGATGCTTTTATGGTAAAAGGCAAATGTGGTATAAAAAATGTCAAAAAATACAACTGCAGTGACTTGATTCAATTATTCTGAGGAAGTAACAATTACAAGAAGTATCTGATTGCAAGAATTTGCTTGGAAAATAACCTAGTAGGTTATTTAGCAAGCTGCATTAATCAATACAAGCTAAGCTTCTAGAGCAATATTCAGAAGAAGGTGATTAGTTCTTAAATCTTGACTTATAATCCTACAAATACATCATTGTCAGCAAATAAGTGCTACTCTTCTTTACAATGGATTGCATCCGAGCATCAATATGCTCAACTCTACAATTGCATATAATCCTGTACCCATGAGCAGATCAGACTGATCAAGTATTTTGGATCACATTGAAGACTAGTTTGCAAAACTGTGTGCCTTCTTCCAATTGGCACAGCCCCAAGACTTGTATACTATAGTTAGAGACAAGTTGAAAAAATGCTCCTATACTTAATTCCAGCTAGACCTTTCCATCTGATGAAGGAGGGCTTGTATCTGTTTTAACCGCAGTTGAAGATGATGTTGTTAAAGAATTGGTGCCTTTAGAAGGGGAAGAGGAAAGAGTTGGGAGCTTCTTAGGCAGCACATGTTCCCAGTTAGGCAATCTTGATGCTTCTGAGACAACAACGAGAACAAGAAGAGTCAGGAGCAAGCACTTGTTCCTCCAAGAACCTGACATGTTGAATACCAATGGTCAGGAGATACCTAGAGAACTCATCTCTATAACTTTCATAGATAGCTTTAGAACGTTAGTGGCAGCAGACATGTTGAGTAATCTAAGGAGACTGCCAACTTGTTTTGTTTGAGGAAAGGTGTGACAATGGCAGACAATGGAGTATTTGAAAATTCTAAACTGAGTGTGGACCTTAGGAATTTAAGGGATTTAACTTCTGAAGTGGGACCAGTTATCAGTACGGTATAATTTATGTATGCTTAATCTTCCAGGTCTGGTAACAAATTTTTGTTGTCAGAATGTCAATGTTCAACTTAGGTATAATTAATAATCTCACTTAGGCAATATATTACATAGAGGTAATAACTTGACCAACCAGCTAGGTTTCTAATATACTTCATGTTATTGTCTGAGTGACATGAAGCTAGCACACACATTTCAGGTTTTGCACTAAAATCTTGTATGGGAGATTACGGGAAGTTTTAAGGAAACAGAATTAATAAATGTCAGTACCTTCTGGTATCTTAAAAGTTGTCAAGACAAACTGAAGTTTAATTACAGAATCAATTTGCAAATTCTTAATGATATTGGTAAACAACCCAGTAATTTCCCTTTCAATTTTAGCACAGTACGAAGACAACTTGGGACTACCCTGCAAATTCAACTAGCCAAAAAGTTACTCTGGCCAAGTTCATCCCCTTTTACAACCTTAATCATTGTACACACATGCATGGATACATACATATCTTTCAATATAAAACCCAATAAATCATGTGTTCTTAATATTAGATTAACCTGTAAAGCTCCCTCAACTAATGGTTCCAAAACCCCCCACCTAGACCCCAGTATTATTTTTCTTAAATTCCAATCATGCAAACATGAGGAGAGAGCTATTTTCATTCATTTCCAGATAGCTATCATCAAACCAAACAAGCATACTCGACTATGTAATTAAAAACACAAGAATATTTCAAAAGAAGTTCAAAGGACGCATCTTAACTCCTTTGTCTACAACTTTGCCAACATAAGGAAAATTTTACCCTAACAGATGATAGTAACAACCCAACAGTGTCAGAGGAATATCCATATATTTATATCAGAAGGCTAGTGTTTTTGAGGCATCCATTATCCTCAAACACATAGAAAGCCCCTAGACATAATCAAAGGTCCAATCTAAAGGCTCATTTTTATTTTTTCTCTCCATTACTTTTGCTAAGAGGGCAAACTTGGGTTTTCATTCCTTGATCCTTACAAAAAGGGGAGGTTGTCCCATTGGACCAGAAAACCTGGCTTTTTCTCTGCTGGTTAAAGTTAAACTATTGTATGAGTTGAAAGAATGTCGGATCAAGGATAACTTATATTTTTTTTGCAGGCAATTTTTGAACAAGAAGAGTTGGCAAAATAAGTGGAAACCTAAAACACTCATCCCACAAAGTGTGGTGGGGTCAGTTTTCTTTTCAACATGTACTAATTCAGGATAAACCGATTTTTCTATAATGCTTTGAAAAAATTTCAGTAAGTGCTACGTTTAGTTATGCCTGCAAGTAATTTCATTCCGTGTATATCAAAGAGTAGTCCGCCGAGCACAGCTAGCACTCCACTATCAAAACAACGTAAAGCATGGTTCAAGAAACCCAAAAAGAAATCAATGTAAAGCATGGATTAAGAAACCCAAAAGTCCACAGAACAAAAAGAAATCCAAAATCGATGTCATAGATTTTGGAAAATGGAGAGAGCAACAATGCAAAGTGGTATGGTTTCCAGCTATAACCATAGAATCAATGGCATGTGCAGTCTTACCTGCCCAACCACGGAGAAGAGAGTTGGGATGACGGTGGTCAAATGAAGAGAGCGGGGAGAAAAAGATGGACGGAATGAGGAAAGTTTTTCTATTTGGAGAAAAATAGTGAAATTGTTAATGACCCACTATTTTTTTCGGCATAATATTTTTCATACTTGCTATTGAAGGACCAAACTTCAAGAATGCCTTCAATTTTCATTCCATAATGATAATTTGATTTTACAATCAAAGTATACAAGGACAATAATCTTTGTAATGGGGATCAAAATAATAATCAACCAATAAAATGTTACACTTTAAAATTAATCTAAAAAATGCTTGAGAAATAAAAGAATACCTATCAAGTTTTTGTCACCAGTACGGCCAGAATTTCTCTTAGTACTGCTATTCTGATTCAAACAATGGCTGCTTTTATTGTTTCAGTCGCATTTGGACGCCAATATGTCTTGTGAAAGCAAATGAATCCTTCATTGTCTTCTAAATAAGTTGTCCGGACCTCCCACCATAGAGATTTAGCCATTCCCTGCACCTCCTTTATTGTTGCAGCATCATCCCGTACAATCAACTTTCCCTCTGGCCTTAGAATTCTGTCAACTTCTGCAAAAAATGTAACTAAATTGCACCTGTGGCCAGAAATTATGAGCTCAAATCAGAGCTATATATTACTGAGATAACCTTGATTGAGAGTGATAGGGCTAGGAAATAAACCTCTTTTTTATGCTAGAGAATAGATGGTCAGCATGGAGAAGATCATAAGATCTGGGGTATGTATTAAATGATTCACACCAGTCATGATATAACCCAAACAAGCCACGCTCATAGATTATTGGAAGTGTATCAGCAGAGTCTATTGGAACCACATTCATAACCCACACTTTCAAATCTTTTAAGGCCGCAGCAAACCTAAAGCAAAATTAATGTAAAATCCTTATGCAGATAAGAAAAGGTAAATGAGGTTGAACTCATCCAAGTAAACTTAAAAAGTGAAGATATTTATAACTAAGTAGCCAAGAAGATAGAACAATTGCTTTAGATAAAAATTATTTTGAGAAAAAAGGAGGAAAAGATAAGTGCAGAGGTCAAGATGTCTAGTTGCAGTTTGCTGACATATTGGATCATGGCTTGAAAAATGTTAAACCGAAAAAGTAAAAATTGTTTACCCTCCATATACAGCTCTCATGTCCATGACATTTCTAATGGAAGACCAGTTGATTCCAACCCCACTCAAATATGACTTGGCAACAACATCTTTCCAGTGCTTGTAGTCTGCAACAAAATCTTCAGGAGCTGCTTTACCATAACCACCAACCTGAGAATTTAACCAGTAAGGAGCTGTCTCCAACCGTTTTGGCCATTGCTCGGGCCAACGAGATCCACGTTCTGATGAATCTACTGGCACTCTATGCATGCACGTTATGCATGCACGCCTAAAGACATGCACCAGAGACATTTGCATGGTCAATCACATTGCAAATATTCATTAAGAAATTTGGAGTCTATCTAACGGTATTTTGGTATGATATGTGTTTTAAGAAGGGTAGTTTTACCACATTCACAAATCAAAAATGCAATCTCTACTATGAATTCGTTACCAAAAATGATATTGGACAATACTTCAACTAGTAAAACAGACTCTTAACATGCAGACAATGATGTGCATGTGAGTAAGCTCTCCACAATTGCTCTCATGTTTCATGTATCATACAGGTAAAAAACAATTGACTACTCTTAACTGAGTATTATCAACCAGTGTATAAAAATATATATTGCTTGGGACGTATGAAGACAATTTGACACATCTTGAATAAAGGAAAAAAATATTGAAATATGGTAAAATTATATCAATTACCTGACAATATCCAATTACATCCCTCATAATAATTTAGGAATCACTCTTTTGTATCATTTTTTTATCTAATTTTACATATCATTTAAATAATTAATTTTTTTTATTCATTTGAAATTTGTAATATTGAATACATCCACTTATTTAATAATATATGAAAATTGTATAAAAAAATGATATAAAAAATTATATTTATATCATTTTTCATAAAAAAATAAATTATAATATTAAAAACACCTAAATACAATCTAACTATTAATATCAAACCAAATATATTATTTAATTAATCCATCGTTGATATGATTGAATCTCTAATTCCTTAACTTCCCCTCAAACTCAAGGTTTTGAAAATTCTTGAAGACTAATAATATCTTTGAGCCAGCAGAATTGGAGAATCTGCCACAATAGGGAATCAAAGTGGTGAGAATAAAAGAGGCAATGCCAGGGAAGAAAGATGCATTGATGCCTTCTTTTGTAAATACTGCCACCAACTGTGCTTCAAAGACAAACTGAAACATAGCTATATGCAACACTACGTAGAAAAATAGCATACAACTAGCCAAAATTTATAGAGCCGATCAAGTAGCAAGAGAAGCACCAATGTGAAGGTTGGAGCGCATGGATCAGAGAACGGAGAAGGGACTGCCGGTGCCAAAACTTGAAGATTACTGCAGTAACAATTGCAAACGCCTCTTGAATACCGACGAAATAGCAGCAGAGGGAGGCCGGAGAGTGACCGGTTGTGGTAGAATTGCGAGAGCGTGATGGGATCAAGCAAATCTGGGGCGCGATGAAATCTGAAGAAGTATGCCAGGAATAAAAGAAAAAGATATTGCTGTAGCCAATAGGAAAGAGATAAGAAGACATTCTGGGGCTGGAGCTTCGCCTGGGAGTGTCGTGAAAGGTCAATAACGGGGAACTTAAAGGTGGCGTGGCTAGAGGTGACAAGGGGTGGAATTTGGTTGTAGTTATTGGTGATAAGGGAAAAGTCTCTACCTGAAGTAGTGCTAGGTAACACCGAGGTATATGTGGGTTGATCAGCAAGAGATGGAGACAATGTGGAGGAATTTATGGGCTTACTAGTTGGTTAATTTGTTGGCATGGTTTCATGGCCTTCAATGAATTAGTAGCACAGAGTGGTGCCACACAGATTTGTGGTGGGATGAAACTGGCTGAAGAAAAGAACTGCAACAGATAAAGGAGAGGAGGATGCTTTGGGGCAAGCGGCTCTTAG